TCTCCTGTAAAGGGCTAGATGGTGGATATTTTAGACTCTGTGAATCATATGGCCTTTGCTGCAACTTGATTATCTTGATTATATTCACTACAGACTCTGCCCTTGAACTACGAAAGCGGATATGGACACTATGTAAACAAACAAGAATGGCTGTGTTCCAATAAACCTTTTTTTATGGACACAAATTTGAATTTCATACAATTTTCACATCACAAGCTATTTTTCTTTTTTTTTTTTTAAGTTTATTTATTTATCTTGAGAGGGAGAGAGAGCACACACACAGAAGGGACACAGACAGGGAGAGGGAGAGAATACCAAGCAGGCTCTGCACCATCAACAGTGAGCCTGATGTAGGGTTTGAACTCACAAACTGTGACATCGTGACCTGAGCCGAAGTCGGACGCTTAACCGACTGAGCCACCCAGGCACCCTATTTTTCTTTTGATGTTTTTCATTAAAAAATGTAAAACCCATTCTTAACTTATGGAATATACAACTCATAGGTTTATCCCCAAGATAAATGAATTCATGTTCATCAAAAGCCATTTATAAGAATGTAACATTTATATTCATAATGGCCCGAAACTGGAAACAGCCTAGATGGATTTTAAAAATTTCAATATGTTCATAAAAATGGATTACTCCATAGCAATGAAAAAGAATAAGCTCTGTCTACATACATTACATTGGATGATTCTTACAAAATGTTGTGAAGGAATCTAAGTCTCAAGGATTATTACTGAATGATTCCATTATGTGGAGTTCTGTAATGGCGAAGGTAGTCTGTGGATTTAGAGATTAGAACAGGGGTTGCAGAGTGGGACAAGGAGAGGGGATTAACTAGAAATGGATGGGAAGGAAAATTCTGTATGATGGAAATGTCCTGTCTTCATTTGGGTGTTATGTGCTTAATGTATGTGTTTGTCAGAACTCTTCAAATAGTACACTTAAGATTTATAAAAATTATCCCTCCATACAAATACTCCTTACATAATTTAAAAAGAAATGAATTGGTTGTGTTAACATTTAACATTGTGTGGTATTTCTTAGTAAAATCCAGGTTTCTGGCCACATTCCTTCATGTCACCTGTCAACTGGAACTGAGCTGTTCCAGTAGCATTGCCAGTAGCCATACTAGTGTGGCTTCTGAGCACTTGAAATGTGGTGCGTCTGAATCAAGGTGTGCAGTGCAGGTAAAATACACCTGGGAGTTTGAAAAAAAACTTAGTCTGAAAAAAAGAATGTAAACTATTTCAGCGATTAGACAACAAAAAGAAAAGGCATACAAATTGGCAAGGAAGAAGTCATTAATATTTTTTATCTTGATTATATATTGTAATGATAATATTGGGTTCAAATAATTATTAAAATTAATTTTACCCATTTCCTTTTTTATTTGAAAAAGTTTTGAAAAATTTTGATAACATATACATGACATAAAGTTTACCATAAAATTTATTTTTATCTTAACTGGTATTTATTTATTTTTAAAAATTTGTTTAACATTTTTATTTATTTTTGAGAGACAGAGAGAGAGTGCGAGAGGAGGAGGGGCAGAGAGTGAGGGAGACACATAATCCCAAGCAGGCTCCAGGCTCTGAGCTGTCAGCACTGAGCCCTATGCGGGGCTCGAACCCATCAACTGTGAGATCATGACCTGAGCTGAAATCTGACGCTTAACCAACTTAGCCACCCAGGTGCCCCTTAACTATTCTTTTAAAGTAATCTCTGTGCCCATTGTGGGGCTCTAACTCCTGACCCTGAGATCACGAGTTGCGTGTTTTACTGACGGAACCAGCCAAGTGCCATGCCTTAACCATTTTTTAATTGTACGGTTCAGTACATTCATATTATTGTGCAACCATCTCCACCATCCATCTCCAGAACTCTTTTCATCTTAGAAGTATGAAACTCCATGGAGTGCCTGGGTGACCCAGTCAGTTAAACGTCAGACTCTTGATTTTGGCTCAGGTCATGATCTCAAGGTTCGTAAGATTGAGCCCTGCATTGGGCTCTGTGCTGACAGTGCAGAGCCTGCTTGGGATTCTCTCTCTTGGTCTCTTTCTGCCCCTCCCCTGTGTGCTCTTGGCTTAAATAAATAAATACATAAATACATAAACAAACAAATAAATAAAATAATAGAAATAAGAAACTTCATACTTGTTAAACAGTTCTGCATTCCCCCTCTCCCCAGTCACAGGCAACCCCCATTCTACTTTCTGTCTCTATACATTTGTCTGCCGATCCCTCAAATAAGTGAAATCATACAGTATTTGTGACTGGTTTCTTCACTAAAAAAAATTTTAGTTACTATACAATTTACAATGATGTGGCTGGCGTTATATCTAGTGGATGGTATTGAAGGAGAGTAAACAGCCGCCACCATTTTAGACAGGACAGAGTTCTATGCTCAGTCCCACCTCTCCCCAGTGCCATTTACCATTTGGTATTGGATTTATGTTTTCTTTTTTATGTTCACATTTCTTCTACTTGAGGAAATGGAAGTATTTCTTACATTCCTGTCTCCATCAGACATGGAAAATGAAAGGATTTTCCCCTACTTTTTAGAGGGTCATATCTTTGGAAGCATAGTTTTCTTTGTGGAAGGGAAAGAGTCATTTAATATACAAAGTGTTTCTGTGTTCAAAGACTACAACCTAAGGTAGCATTATGAAACAAATTACTGCCTTGGATGGCTGCACTCATTGTCTCCTTGGCCCCTATAAACCTTTAATTTGAACTCTTTATTTATTTCCTTGTGTTAATTGAATTCCATTTGGGAGAAAAGATTCTAACCAACTACTACTACAAACGGCTCTTCTCTTGTGATTACTTGACATAAATCACTGGATAGCAGGTACTTTATTGATTAGCTTTCAAATAAAGTTTCACTATTAAATATGGTGTCCATATGACTAGAAAGCATTTAGACTGAATATTTATTTACAGACTACAGTTTTACTTTGCAGTTTTTGAAATATTGGAGCAGTGTAAGGGAGATAGCACCTTCATTAAGATTTTCAGTGATATGATGATTATTATGTATGGTGACAATCTGTTAAGTGAGGGTTGTTTAAAACCACATAAGCGAAGACAGTACAGGAGAAATTCAGCTGTATTTTGTGTTTTGCTGTTTGGTGGCTGTTTGGAGGAGAGAGGATCTTTGCCAGGTGAATAGTTCTGGAGAAATGCCATAGCCAGGGAAGGAGGACGGTGTGTGAAGTGACAGGGTCCTAAAGGGTATCTGGGAGTCCTTGTATAATAGTTGATACTCATCATCTCGTGTTTGTATTCTCTCGTTCCTGGAATTATCTGTTGAACACCAGTGAAACACTGGTCGGGGAGTTTACACATGTGGGCTTTTCCTTCTCTTCTCCCTCAAGTAGTGTTTGGAAATAATTCCTCCTCTCATGGGCAATCAGGGTGCAGATTATTTTATGTGAGCTTGTTCCCTCTTTTTAGATCCCTTTTGCAGACCGAACTGAAAGAAATCCCTTTCTGAGAAGAGAACCATGGGATTAGCTTATATTTGACTTACTAAGAATCTATGTTTTCTCTGCTTTTGCCTTTTTTCTTTTAAAGTCCATTCCTGCCTTGAGTACTGGAGAGCTGCCGAGGTTGGGAAACGTTAAAATGTTAAAAATGGTGGCCATCCTCTTTTTAGAGGAGAGTCCTGGTTTAATTTTCCAGATTGCTTATTCTATTTATGTCTCTTGGGCCTTTTGGCTGATTGATCATGCAGGGATTTGTCATATTGCCTACTTCTTTGAATCAAATGTGGACATAGCAACTAAAAATAAACACAATGTGTGGATATTAGAGAACCAGGGGCCTTCTTTGCCTGGGGAGCTGGGATACTTGGTTGTGTTGCTAAGATGTTTTCTGGCTTTAGCACAGCATCAGTCATTGGAAGTGCAGCTGTGTTTGGAATGGGGCGCTGATGGAAGTGCGGAGGCACAGTGATGAGTATTATCCTGAACAATGGATACAGATGCAAATCATTATGCATAATCCATAATATTATCCCCATTTTTGGAGTCCTTTGTGTTGTGTGATTGTGTGTGATTTGCCGCACTGAGAACTAGAAGTGTGCCAAAGCATCATTTCTGTTTCAGAATAGTTTTATCAGATATTTGAAAGATAAGTAAATATTCCAGACTGTTGGGTTTGAACTCTTTGTAGCATTGTGAGTGTGGCTAAAGGTTTTGACAGTAGAATCTGGCTGAACGGACTGATCGCTGTAACTTAAAGTATTTTCCTTATTCCATTATGAAAAGACAATTGAAGATTGAGCGTGAAAATTCCTTAAGGAATTACATAGGGTGAAAAACTGTCACCCAGGGGGCGCCTCAGTGGCTCAGTCAGTTAAGTGTCTGACTTTGGCTCAGGTCATGATCTTGTGGTCCATGAGTTCGAGCACCGTGTCAGGCTTTGCGCTGACAGCTCAGAGCCTGGAGTCTGCTTCAGATTCTGTGTCTCCCTCTCTCTCTACCCTGTCCTCATGCACGCTCTGACTCTCTCTTAAAAATAAGCAAACATTAAAAAATTAAAAAAAATAAAAGGAAGGCTAATGATAGTCTTGAGTTGTGAGGATTGAATGACGTAATATTTGCAGATGTTAATATAGTATCTGGCATATAATGTGTGTTATATGGGTTTTGCCTGTTTCATTTGCCACATATCGTGTTCATACAGTATCAGAGCCTTTTAGCTGGTGCCGGACTAAAGGCTGAGGTAGGAGATCAGTCCAAAACCTGAATATGTTCTGTGATGACTTGACAGCATTTAAAAATGTTAAGCCAGAATTGCTTGGTAAAACTGAAGCATTTTTCTATCATGACATTATTATAGGAGTCTTCACTGTGTCAAAATAAAGATTTAATCTATATTTAGTGCTCTGGAATTTTTCCTCAAAAGTGATTCATCTTTTGGCCATTGAGTTCCGCTTTTCACAGTTTTAAAAAAGTCTCACTTGAGCTTCTCTGATTCTGGTCCTAAAGAACTGCCGCTGCCTCGCTTTCTGATGTCAAAGACCGATGCTGAGATCCGATTTGGGAACCCGACTGAACTGCATGGAACTAAGGTTCAGATTCCATATTTAATCACAGAAAAAAATACCTTCAAAAGAATGGACGATGAGGATAAACAGGTAAACAGTCTGATCAGGGGTGTCCATTTGATTCTGACAGTGAAACCTCACATAGCCGTGCTTCATATCTACTGTCAGGCTTCTAGCAAATCTCACCATCTGGGATACAATTATAGACTTGGAAGGAAGCCAGTGAAGTTTCCTTGTAGCAAGAAAAAGCTGAAGTATAGCCACCCATTCGCCCTTTAGAGCTTACTTGAATGTAGATTGTGTCCAGAGTGAGGCCACTGATTTTTATTTTTTATTTTTAAGTGTTTGTTTATTTTTGAGAGAGAGTGTGAGTGGGGGAAGGGCAGAGAGAGAGGGAGACACAGAATCCGAAGCAGGCTCCAGGCTCTGAGCTGTCAGCACAGCCCAGTATGGGGCTCGAACTCTTGAACTGTGAGATCATGACCTGAGCCGAAGTCAGAGGCTTAACTGACTGAGCCACCTGGGTGTCCCAAGGGTATGATTTAATACACTTATTTGATTTCTCTAATCAGTATTTGTAAATGGGTTCTTTGAAATGGAACTTCTAGGATTTTTTTTTTTTTTAAAGTAAAGTCTAAGTCCAACGTGGTGGGACTTTAACTCAAGACCCTCAGATCAAGTCACATGCTCTAGTGACTGAGCCAGCCAGGCGCCCCTAGGACTTTTTAATAGATCTGTCTTCACAAAAAAAGTTTGGAGAAAAGGTTTCTGTGGTTAAATATATTTGGAGAGTGCTGCTTCATATCCTTGGGTCAAAGACTACATTCTGAGGCTTGGAGACTCATAAGTGCTCATTAGCAAATTCAAGGCCCTGACAAGTCCCGCTGTGAAGAGACATGGAGATTTGTGTTTACTAAACTAGTTTCACCAGAGAATCCTTTCTTGTGGGGCTTGTTTGGGATGCCAACTTGGGGAATGCTGCCGTTTCACATTTAGCAGGTTAGGGACAAGAGTAGGGAGGAGAGGCTTTAAAAATTAGAGCACTAATTGCAATAGTTAGGTGGTGGTTGGTAGAGATGAAAGTATAAAATTTCAGAAAAGTATGCCTATCAAGAAAGAGGTAAATAGTCTTATTTATGCATTAGTGAACCCTGGGGGCACCAAGGTACAGCTCATACTTCTAATAAAGATACTGAATCATGCAGAAAAGTCAAATTACATTGAATATAGTATCTTCTATAAGACCAAGAAATTTGTCATATTTTAGGAAGATGAGTCAAAACGTTTTTTAAATGCATTGTGTAACAAAGGATTAAGTTGAAAAACTATATGGCTCACCATGATAATGCTGGATATATGAGGTGTTGCTGCAGAAGTTTTATATTTATAGCCAAGTGAGGTATAGCATGTCTTGTTAAATAACTCAGTGTAATGTTGATGTCATAATTCTGATACATTTTAAATGAGTTCTTTAGGGATATATATGTAAAGGGGTATAGGAAGCTTCAGTCAGTACTCTGGCATGTTTTCCTACCAGCATTTGGAGAGGAATGAGGGTCTGCTGTCCCAAGATGGTTGATACTCTGGGGACTTTCTAGGCCCATCCCTGGCTGCGTGATTGAGGACACATCCTTTCACCTGAGGGTAGGTTTGTACTCTGCCCATCCCATCTGTTGGTGTGAGGTCACACTTCAAATATTCTTTTCTTTTTCTTGAAGAAGAGTATTTGATCAGTAACTCAGATTGCCTTTTTTTTAGACTAAGAGTACCTATATAGTCTGCATGTTGATTAAAAGTACTGTTTCCTTGTTACTTGGGTACTCCAAAGTTACCAGTTTATTGGTAGCATTGAAAAGGAGGAAACCCAGTAGCAGAGTAAGGTTGTTTGCTTTGCCAGACTCTTACATAAAATTCACATTTTAACTGAGATTTGAACTGTAGCTTATTAAGCCTCCATCCTCCTGTTTAGGAGTGGTTTGCCCATGATGAATTGTTTCATTATCCCCTAGTGTGAAAAAGAAAAAGCTGGCATTTTACTCTGGTACAGTAAGCCCCAGCAACATTTAGCATTAAGCATTTTAAGTGTGTATTTTTAATACCCACATTTGCTGGAAGACTTGGTAAGTGTAAATCCAGGAAATAGTAGCCTTTATTATAAACACATGAAAATTGAATTTATCCACGAAGAGATCACATTTGGGGAGTGTGAATGCTATTTCATGTGATCATTGTCTTCCATTTTCCACAGGAAAATACTAGTGGAATAACGGAAAGCATTTCATGCTAGTTTTAGTAATTTAGGCAACTGAGTGCTGGCGAGACTTTGTTCTCTGGGAGACTTGAATCCTCAGACACTGCGTTTTAACCAAGCCGTGTTTTTGAGAAAACATTTCCTCCCATTTGTGAAATCAGCCGTCTCACCGGCGGTAGAGTTGCATTATACTTCGTAACTGCCGTTCAAAGCATCAGGCTTCTCAAGTGACTGCCTCTGAACTCTGCTCTGGTTCCTTTGAAGCAGGAAACACAGTCTCCCACGATGTCACCCCTCGCCTCCCCTCCTTCTTCCCCGCCTCATTACCAGAGGGTGCCCTTGAGCCATGCCTACGGCAAACTGCGGAGCAACACGGAGCAGATGCATCCAGGTAAGAGGCGATCTTGTCCAGCTGTCCCAGGCAGTGTCCTAGAGACTCCTTAATCTCTCAGGCAGCAACGCCACCAGCTGCTGAATCTCCTGACTTAATTACCTCTGTCTTTGGAAACATGGCTGAATTTAATTTTGTACTCTCAAGCAAGGCTTTTTAAAAAAATGAAATGTGTCCTAGTGGTGCCTTGTGTCCTATCTGAAACAAACCAGTTTCGACTTGTAATTGATTTAGATGATTTAATCCTTCGTATATAGATTTCATTACCTGGGAACATCGCATGTCGAAGGTTTATATTGTCTTGGAATTGTTCCTTTCAGCAGACATTCCAAACATGTTTATATAACAACGGCTTTTCTGAAACTACTTAAAAATATAACTCTGCAAAAGCAAAAGAGTTGATTCAACCTTTAAAGACAGATCACATAAATGAAAATATCTCGCTCTTGCGTTTGAGAAGAATAAGGGAAATGGTAGGGGAAGCATTTTGCTGAGAGCATGTGGTGTGCCCAGTTGTGGGGTCGCCTGCTTGCTCACACTTAACGCCGTGCTGGCCGCATTAGCGGTAAGGTACATTAGTTGTTCTGAGTTGGCTGCCTAGCCTGCAGTGCTTAAGGCTGCGTGCGCTCACAGCAGTGCCTTGTCCTCCTGGGGCTCTGGCTCGTACTTTAAGATAGGACCAATTAAAGATATTCTAGAATCGGTTATTCATCACCCTCCTCTTGTATTTTGTGGGCTGTGTTTGAAAATGACCCAGTTTCTGCAGGGTTTTGCTGCGTTGAAAATAGTGGTGAGTTCTAGAGGGACACAGATAAAAATGTGTGCTAGGCTATAGAGAGGCTGTAATATTGTAGAGAGGAGCCGGTGTGGCATAATGAAAAAATTTTTTGATGGGAATCAGAAGGTGTGGGTTTATGTGACTAGCTATGTGACCTTGGGCAAGACCCTGAACTGCTCTGAACCGTGATTTCTTCTCCTCTTTTAAAATGGGGTAACACTATTCTATTGGGATGTGGTGAGGATTAGTGGAAACATGAAGTCTGATTGGAAATTAAGTCCTATGCAAATGCAAGATGATGCTGTTAAGGGATAGTAACAAAAAATCACTCTCCTTAAACTCGAATGTCCCATTGGAGTCTGAAACAAAATAGGGTTGAGAATTCTTCACTTTGCTTTTAGCCTCTCCTGCCTGATTTCCCTAGTTTTAGAAGCGGAGCTCTTTTTTTGATTCTTAATGTTGTTTGGGCTTGGACATTGGAGTTTTATGCCCAGCGTGGTGCCTGTTTTTTGGTTTTTAATTCACACGTGAGTCATTTTTTGTTCTACTGAGTCAGCCTATTACCAGGTTCTTCGCTATATCTATATCTATAATCTATATCTATCTATCTATCTATCTATCTATCTATCTATATCTATTTGGCTATTCCTTTAAAAACTTGTCTGTATTCACTGTCTCTACTTCTTGCCCCATTCTTTCCTCATTCCAATTGGGCTTCCATTCCCCCCATTGGCAAGGAAACAACCTGCTTCTCTCCGTCTTCCTTGACTCTTAGCAGCCTATGTCAAGGTTGTCCATGCCTTCATTCTTACTTATTTTTTCTAAATGATAAAATGCACATATTTAAAAATCTCCCAAGTTGAGTTTTGACAAATGGATGCATCCATGTAGCCACTACTTTGATCAAGAATAGAACATTTCCGGGGCGCCTGGGTGGCTCAGTCAGTTGAGCGTCCCGACTCTTGATTTTGGCTCAGGTCATGATCCCAGGGTCTTGGGACTGAGCCCCACATTGGGTCCTGTGCTGAGTGTGGAGGCTGCTTAAGATTTTCTGTCTCCCTCCGACCCTCTCCCTGACTTCTGTGTGCACTTTCTCTAAAAAACAAACAAACAAACAAACAAACAAACAAACATACATTTCAATCACCCTACAGATGCCCCTTTCCAGTCACTCCCTGGCCTCCAATGTGAGGACTGTTTTGATTTTTATCACCTTAGATTAGTTTTGCCTCTTTTAGAACTTAATATAAATGGAATCATATTGAACAACTCCTCTTATGTGTCTGCTGTCTTTCCCTTGGCATTGTGGTTGAGGTTCATCCTTATTGTTGTGTGTCTCAGTAGTTTGCTTTTTTTTATTACTCAGTTGTGTTTCATTGTGTGAATGTACCACAATTTGATGATCCATTCTCCTGTTGATGGACATTTGGTTTATTTCCAGTGTTTGGCTGTCATGAGTAAGGATCCAACGAACATTTGTTTGTGAATCTTTTTGTGACATATATTGTCATTTCCCTGGCACCTAGGAGTAGAATTTCTGTACCTTAGGGAAGGGGTGTAAGAAACTGCCAAAGAGTTTTACAGAGTGGCTGTATATACCCACTGGCGATGTATGAGAGTTCAGTGTTCCTTGCCAGCATTTGGTACTCTCAGTGGTTTCCTTTTCTTCAGTGTTTTTTTAACTGTAGACATTATATCAGATATGAAGACATTTCCTTGTGGTCACTCTTTTATTCTTGGAACATTGTTTTCTAAGTTACCCCTTGCTGGTTTTTCTCCTATATCATGAACCTTAAACTTGACGAGCTACCATTTCAGAAGGTTCTTCTTTGCACAGCACACCCGTAGAGAGGAGTCTGAGTGAACAGTCAGTTGCCTGTTTCTCAAAGAGTTTGAGTTTTTTGGCTCTAGCCATCGATTAGGAGTCTGTTAGGTCCCTGTAGTTGTGAACAAGGTCATTCAGAAATAAAACATTTACAGGTACTACCATTTAGACTTCTCCATCTGTCTAAGTCAAAGGAAGGGAGAGTTTTTCTATCTGCAACTTGGTTCAATCTTGTGATTTTTGCTTCTAATTGATAATATTCACTTCACAGCTTGTTCACTCCTATTTGTATAATGTCTGTAGATTCTCCCCCAGAGGATTTTCTTGGCCTGTTTGCTTCCTTTTCTGTCCTATATCCTCAGGTCAGGAAGTAAGAGAATCCCACATGTCTTCATTCTCTTTCTTCCCATGTTTTCAGAACTCAGTTTTTCTTAAGGCCTTCATGTTCTTTTCCATCTGTTTTTTTTAACTCTCTGTTGTCTTCACCATGTCATCAACCCATCTGACAAACCCAGGATTCCCTTTCCTGTTTCTGTACTCTGTTTTCCTTTTGATCTACACAGTGGCATATCTAAAACCTGTTAAATCGCAGTGACTCTGGTGCTCAGCATTCTAGAATTATTCTTAATTTATGCCTTTTCAGAAAGGAGTTTTGCCGGTGGAATAATTTTCTAGGAATACATTTTTCTGGGGTCATTTCCCTGTCTAAGATTCTGCCATGATTCCTGGCTAGTGGGGAACGTTTGTGAGTGTGTTTTAAATCAGACTGAGTGTCTCCAGACCAGTCTGATTCAGAGCCCCTCTTCAACTTCTCCCCTGGCTCCTGCTATTCTAACCTCTGCTGGATGTAGCTGTAGCTCATGTCCCGTGGGTGAGACTTGTGTGCCAGGCATCGTGCAGAGATCTTGATGTGTGTTATTTTCTTCTTAGCACAGCCCTTGGAGGCAGATACTGCTACCCATATTTAAAAACCGTTGAAATCACAGTAATACAACCATATAGTTAAAAAATATTTAAATGCCTGTAGTGAAAACAACTTTTCTCCTTCCCACTCAACTTATTTCTGATCTCCAGAGGCAACTACTGCAAATCTTACCTGTTTCTTCTGATACCTAATGTCTTATCTCTGTATCAAGATATCCGTTCTGCTTTTTCTTACACATCTTACTCTGATGTATCGATTCTAGGAATGTACTCTCTGAAGAGCATGGGCTGTGATGTCAGTCTCCTGGGTCTAAAGGTAGACTTGGTGGGCCTGCATTTCTAGCCTGTGTGACTATGGGTATTTCGCTTTAATGAGTTTCGGTTTTTCTTATCTGTAAAGTGGAAGAATGTCTGCCTCAGAGGTTTGCCCTGTGGATCAAATGAGGAATGTTATATAAACCTCTGTGCCTAACACGGGTCCTGGCACATTGTAGGTGCTCAACTGTTGCCTAGTATTTTCTTTGTATTTTTAGGATCTGGTACCTGTTTGGTTTTTGACGCCCTTAAGTGTTCTTGAAATTCACCTTCTGGATATCATTCATTGGGTTGATGGCAGATGTAGAGTCTTTACTGTGCATTTGCTAGTGATCCCCGTTCTGGTTTGACACTGAATCTCAGAGTGATGAAATCTTTAGGGTTCTTCCCTTTGGAGAAAGATGATAACTTCTAGTTCCTTATGAAACCTCTTGTAAGGGGATCTGAGAATTATTTCTTTTGCATTGAGTTGCATTTGCCAGGTTTTATTTGGGAGGAAGGAGAGTAGAGGCAGTAAGTAACTCTTTCTGAGTTGAGATCCACCTGAGGATGGGACCAGAGTCAGACTGATGATGGTCTGATGATCAGTTCTGATACTGACAGAGCTGATCGAAGCACATGTTTTAGATTTGTGACCACATGGGCTTCGTACACTCACCTCTCCAGTCACGGGCAGGCATGGCCATCCTAGTCTTCCCATAGGAGTAGGAAGAGAAGATCTGCCGTTGAGGCCAGGCCTTTCCAAAAATGGTGCCCCATGTGGCTGAGTCTTTGTTCAAGCCTTACTGATGAGATATATCCATCTCTTCCAAGGGAAGGCTCTTGTAGGTGAGGGGCTGGAGCCATGGGCCAGGTGGCCTCCTCGCATATGTGCTCCTCCTGTGTAGTAGAAGCTCCCTTCCTCTGAGGGGAGCCAGAGGCACGGAGGGTCAGCTGCCCAGGGGAGGCTCATGACCGCTAGTACCCCAACCATGGTGCAGTTTACTGTGTTCAAACCTTCTGGCATTAATAGTTATATTCAGTGTTCTATCAAAATGGAGTGATCTTAAAAATCCTTCTTCGAAGGACACCTGCCTACCGGCTGAGACTTCTTTTTTAACATTTGGATTATGTATTCCTGGGTTTGTGTCTTTTGCAGTTTTTTTTATATTCTTATGTATTCTTAGCAGGGTCTGAAAATCTACTCAATACTTTGCCAGGTAATGATTTTTGATGTTTTAATGTATTTTAACTGTGTTATAATGTTGTGTTCCAGTCCCTTGGAGGAAATATAAAAAGCAGATGTGAGCCCAAGAGTGGTTTGCTGTTCCTGATGTACTGTTTTTACACCTCCTTTATTTTCAGGTGATCAGAGTCTGCCCTGGGTGGTGCTGTGACAGGCTGCCCCGCACCCTCTACCAGACCTTATTTATAAGGAAGCTAGAGGAAGCGAGCATTTTACTTCTTGATACACTTCCAAAAACTCCAATTGTCAACCAGAAATGTTAATCAAAAATGGCTTCATCTTGGGTGATGAGTTCTCTTTTCTGTTGGAGCTGAATACTACCTGGTTATGTTTAACTGTTTTCCTACCATATTGGCAAAGTCATTATAAAATATTTGGGAAATAAAGTGAAAAAAGGCTTTTGTTTTTGTGGCTTAAAAACTTTTCTTAAAGTCACCAAAATTATTTTTAGTTTGGTTATTGAAAGATAAAATAATAAATATAAAATACATTCATTCCTTTTTGTATTTTTCTCTACTTGATTTTACATCCTTTCCAATAAGGAAAAGAAGACTGTGCCATTTATTTTTGAAAAATAAATAGTAACATTGATTCTTAGTGTTCAAAATGCATACTTATTTTCTTGTTTCTTTGGAAGATGGGTGACGAATGCAAGACTTTTAAACCGGCAGGTATATATAGAATTTACCAGATACTTAGAATTTGAGCATTTATAATATGGCACTTCTCTGACTATTGTTATTGCTTTCTATTCCAATTTATGTTCTTACCATTACACCCTTCAGATTTATTCCTAATCTCAACATGATGCAAATCTTTTCCTGTCTTTTTATGAATCAGTTAAATGGCTTTCGATTGCACCCAGGTTTGTTTGTACAGGGTGGCCCTATGTACATAAACTCTAATTCCTTTGCTGATTCTTCCCTGAAGAACAGACAGTCTCAGTTTGAGTGTGACATCATAATTTTTGGGTGGAATCTTTTTGTGCTGTGCTGACTTTTCCTCCTGCTTTTTCAGCTCCTTATGAAGCTAGACAGCCCCTTGTCCAGCCTGAAGGACCCTCATCGGGGGCCCCAGGAACCAAACCCCCTCGCCATCAGGCTTCCCTTATTCGGGTAAGTGATGTGGGGTTGTGCCAGTGGCAGACTTTGGGGACATGGCTTTTTGATGGGCTGCCTTTTTTTTTTTTCTACAAGGAAGATATAAAACTGCCCCCTTGGGCAAATATTGGACTTCTTGTTCTGTTGCTTGTATATTTTTGTTAATCTTTTTTTTTTTTTTTTAAAGTAAACTCTACCCCCAACGTGGGGCTTGAGCTCACGACTCCAAGATCAAGAGTCACCTGTTTTACTGACCGGGCCAGCCAGGCACCCCTATTTTCCTAGATCTTTTTTGTAACGTGTGTTTCTATACTTTCTCGGTGTCTCTAGATGAATCCAAGCTGGTTCTTGGTCTTTTGTATGTCAAAATGCCCTGCCACCTGTATCTACTTAGTCTTTAGGCACCTCCCTCAGGAGTGCATTTTTCCCCCCCAAAACAGCCTTTCTTATTTTTGCCTTATTCTTTATTATTATTCATTTGGTGCGTACTTAGCTGTTGCCCTTTGTTTTGTGCCTCCAATTACATTGCAGGCTTTTGGAAGGCAGGGGTAGTTCTTAGGCATTCTCTCTCAGTGCCTAGTCCATGCCTTTTGGAGAACAGCTATTTTATGTGTGGCAGCAACTACTGTTTCTTATATGTAATAGATAGCAGTATTCTGATAGAAACACAAGTGATGTCTCAGTTTCTCCTGGCTTAGAAAATTTCAGCTTCCCTTTCTCCAGTGTTTTCTTTTGGATAAAGAACTCATTTGTTTTTTTGTATCTGCAACTGTTATCTTGTGCCGTATCTCTGAGTCCTGTGCTGGGTAGGTCCTTTTCTCAAAAAAAGGGTGTGTGCATGTTGGTGTATGTGTCTGCATGAGAGGAATTACGAAAAAACTGGGTTTACTTTTGGGTGGTTTGTCAGTGTTCAACTTAGGAAGAAGGATTACTAAGGACCTTCGAAGGAAGATCGTGATGTTCACTGAATACCCTCTGGGAATGGGTACTCTGTTAGGCCTAGAACTGTGTTATGGACAAAACTTTATCTTCTAAGGTGGTAGTCTTTGTACAAAGAACTTTCCTAAGGATAATAATTTAGCCATATGCTGTGTATTTATATTTAATGCTTCCTACAACTATAAGATCTAGGTACTGTTATATCTATCAGTGTGGGTGAGTTAACTGTGCCTGAGAGAGGTTAGGTAATGGGTCTAAAGTTTTATTCATAGCCAGTAAGTGGAAGAACCAGAATTTGAAACCAGGCCTTGACCCAGTGTCAAAATCTACGCTTAAAATACTTTACATTAGAGTTCCATACTATAGGGAGGCTATGTTCCGAACTTGCTACATAAATAAGCATTGGGTGTAGTAAGAACTATCCTTGAAAATCCCTTACTGGTACCATGTTGGAGGGCTAACATGCCATTCTCTCCTATGTCCAGAAGACCTCACTTTCACCTCCAAGCTGGAACAAAGAGCTGTTTCTTTAGCTGGGCCCCAGATGCAGTAGTTGGTTGTGTTTAGAGGTCCTGTGGTACAACAATATGTGTCTTTAAATATAAGAATCACATCTGCTGCGGAATGATGGTTTACAATAAGAAAGGCATTGGAGGGACAGGGATTCATCTAAAAGGTTCTACAGGATGTGCTGTGCATGTCTGTGTGGAGTTTATCCTAGTGCTGTGGAGTCTTAATCCTGAACTGTTAGAATGATGCTCACACAAGCAGGAAATCATGGCCTTTTGCAGTGGTCAGATAGGGATCACGAGTTCCTTTCTACCTAGTCGCCTGGCAGGGGGGATGCCATGTGTTCTTATTTGGATTGGTGTCCTGTGACTTCTAATCTCTGGGTCCACGTTTCCTGCTAATAGACATGCTTCTTCGTTCAACTGATGTTTACTATATACCTATGGAGGTGGAACAGTCCCAGTCCCTGCCCTCATAGAGCTTCTAGGCAGTTGGAGGAGGTGGCCAATAATCAAACCATCGCAAAGTAAATAAGTCATTATAATATGTGTTGTGAATGGAAATTACACTGCTTTGAGGCTGAAAAACAGTGTGGGGGTGCAGTTATGTCCTACCCTTAGCAGGTAGGGGGCAATCAAGGAAGGCTTTTAGTGGGAAGCCGCATTTGAGTTGAAATGGGAAGGATTTGTAGGTGTTAACCAGGTCAGGGGATGAGAATGGGGGAGTAGGCAAGAATATAGAGGGAACTGCGTGTACAACATTCTTTGCTAGTGCTTAGCATTTTATCCACATCCTCTTCAGTGCTCACAGCTGCCTTATGAAGTGATTCCTGTTATCCCCTTTTTTCCCATGTCCTCTTTAATTCTCAATTAGAGTATGAAAGGAGTCAAGGGTACCAGGCAAAGGCCATGGTCAGGAATGCAGAATGTGCCTCGACACTGGGCCCTCTTCAGTGGTACTTGCCTAGCTGCTCATGTTGGAGTTCCTTGTAACAGTGACAGTAGTTGAAAAGCACATAAGCTGCCAGCACCATAGGAATCCCAGCGATGGCCCCTTTCTTCACATTGACATACTTGTAACACTGGTAGTAATCTCTTGAAACGCTCCAGCAGTGCCTTCAGGGGGTGAAATCCTGCATCAGTATCCAGCTTGGCAGCTCTCCTAAGTTGACATCCATGAGCTGCTTCTCCTTCACTGGTATGGATGACGCCATCCTGGAGTCCTGGGTGTCTGCTATGTCATCCCATGTTTCCGATGCTAAAACCTGAGATTTAAAGACCTTACGTAATCTGCCCAAAGTCACAGTTAGGAAGTGATAGGGTTGGAGTTCAAACACAGGACGTGATTTCTTAGTCTGGCTCAGGAACCAGATGGATAGTAATATCATCTGGTCAGCTAAGAAGCCCTGGATGAAAAACTGGCCTTGAGAGTTCTGAGGAAAGATCATGAGCTCAGTGTTAGATGCTGGGATTTGAGCTTTTGAGAGAGTCAGGAGGAGGTGTCAAAGAGATGGTAGGAGATAATGGCTCTGGAGCTTTGGGGAGAGCCAGGGCTGAACATCAGTATTTGCCAGTAGTTGGCCATTAGAAGGACTTAAGGTATCGTCTGGAAGAAACCAGATGGGTTCTCGTGCAGGACTGGCCAAACTCTGTGTGACTTTGGGTAAGTTCCTTCTCTTTTCTATAACATGAATGACTTGGAATGGATTTAACAGTCCATTGTAATAATCTGCGACAGTCTGACTCTCATGTTTGTTTGGCATCAGTGGAAGCCCCGCCCCTGCCCCACCCCCTCCTGTTTGAAGCATTACCTTCTGTTTAAGATGAGAACAAGGGGCCTTCCTCCAGACAGCACAGTTTGTGGTTTTCATGGCTGATGTGTTTTTGTTGCTTTTGTTCCTAGGTTTCTTCCTCATGGCTGTCAACTTAGTTTGGCTAGACTCTACGTCCCAGAAAGAAAATTGCCAACCTGAATTAGTCTTGTTGTTGAGGGGATCTGAAGAGAAGGGTTTTGGTGGTAGGGGATTAATATGGATTGGGCCTGGTATCAGCTGAGACTGGGATAACTCATTCCCCTCACATTGCCATGTTAATGTGCTGATGGCAACCTTGCTTTCTTCTAGCTTCCTCTGTCGCCTTGTATTCGAATCCTTCCTCATGATAGGATGGGAGGCGGCCTATGGGTGCTGGGGGAGGTTTTTAGGGACTCTGGGCCAGTGCTGTTGCAGCTCATGAGCTTGGCATTTTAGAGATGCTTATGCCAAATTCAGCACCCAAATATTGGAATGAATAGTTTTTTTTGCTTAATACTTTATGAGTTCGGTTTGTTTGTTTGTTTGTTTGCTTGTTTTTGTTCAGGGTGAGATGTTTTTCCCCTTGAAATTTCAGACTGAGCTTATTCTATATCTGTGGAGGGTTGACAGTGATTTGTAAAGAAATACAAAGTCTTCTTTCCTGATTCATCTGTTATGTGTTTATAGGTCATTTTGTGGTTTACTTTTCACAAAGTTTCCTAAGCAGCTAGACTGTAGTCATTTGTAATTTGCTGGTGTAGGATTTAGAATTGCCCCTTTTGCTCCCACTGTACTCCACTGTGTCTGTTTTTGCCGTGGTTGCCAGAAACTGCTTTGGGTTAAGTTCTTGCTCCATTGACCCCTTGGCAGCTTTTGACATTAACCACTGTCTTGATATGCTCTCATCGTTTGGTGTCCATGATGCCATCTTCTCCTGGTTTTCTTCCTGCTTCTGTGACTACCTCTTACTAATCTTCTTTTTCCATTCTTCTTCTTCCACCAGCACCTCACATGTTGGTGATGCCTGGGTGCGCTTCTTACTCTGTTCCTCTTTAGCCGTATGGAAGCTTATGACCACATATCTCCATCTGCCAGATGTCTTCACTCAGATGTCCCACTGTCTTTCCCACAGAACCAGCTTTCACCCTTCCGTTCCTGTCTCCATCCATCTGTCAGCACAGGCCAGAATGCTGGTCGCTGTCTTTGACTCACCTCTCGCCCTCCTGCCCACTGAGTTACCAGGTCCTGGCCATTTCACTTTCTAAATGCCTCTCTTACCTGTCCATTTCCCTGCACCTCCTTGGTTCAGGCCGTCCTCCTCTGTCACTGAATCTGTTCTGTCAGCCTGTAACTCTTTTTCCTTGCTTCCACTCTTGCCTCTTCAAATCCATTATGCTTACTGCATATAAAAATAGTCTTAAAAATACATATCTGATCACCCTACTCCCTTGGTTGAGACTTGCCCACTGCTCTCTGCATACCACCTACTTCCGAACATGGCCCTCAGGGCCCTGCTGTTCACACCTACTTGTTACCTTTTCAGCCACAGTAGTTCACTTCTCTCCCTCCACACCCTGGCCACAAGGGAGCTACTGTTGTTTCCCTAATAGCCAGTGTCCTTTGTGTGGGAACCTTACTCTTCGTCTTGTCTTTTGCCTTCTTTGTTTTCTCCTTTGCCTTCATTCATGTATACTTTTTTTTTCCATTGACAACATTAAGTTTGAGAATTTTCTAATATTTCTTGTACATGTGAAGTTTCCATTTTTTCATTCTT